ACAACAGAATACTTTAAAATACAAGTGTCAAACTCTAGGACCCCAGTCTGGCATGTAAAGAAAGTGGAAGTGATCACTCCATGCTCACTACAAGAAGAATGCTGAACAAACTGAAAATCCACACTTTTTCTTAGATCCATCAAAGAACTGTGGTAATAAGGGAACTTGTAGTCACTACAACTAGAGAGACAGGCAGATATAGAAAATCATACATTGGTGGGAGCAGCAGCCTACAGCCAGAACCATTATCTATACGGACACTTGAAACTGACCTTGAATAATTGCTGAGGGCTTAATGTAAATAAGCTTCAGGTTAAAAGCTCTGAGAGGGCCCAGTCTTAGGGGAGCCCTTCATACTTTCTCGAGTTTTACCTCCTGAATGCTTACTACTTTCTCCAGTGAAGACCAGAGAAAAATCCCCTCCTATTTCTGGGAGTAGGGGAGGGGGGACACAGATAAAACAACCATTTAAAAATATACGCAGAGTTCTCTGTTCCTAACAAGGGTTGCCCTCAAGAGAAACTCTCACCAGAACCTAATGGAAGAGGGCTCTGCCAAAGCCTCAACAACCTGGGAAAGGGAAATACCTAACTCAGGCTCAATAAAACACTGATTCCTAACCACAGGACTATAAAATGGTTTTCCTCCCCATATAGTGAATCCTTACAAGAATAGGTACCCTGTAAAATAACAAGGATTACAGCTAAATGACTCCAAGCCTCAGATACTATTAAAGAGTCTAGGAAAACACAAAAACACGGGAGACAAAAACTAGGGCACAGAGAAAATTTCAGCTTCTAATACCACAGCTATGGTGAATAGTAAACAGAGTACAGTCTAACTGTACTGTAAACATAACACTTTATACCAAAAGCCTATATACTTCACCTTTACCTGATACATTGCATATCACTTTCCACCAAAAATTACAAGGCATGCAAACAGGCATAAAACATAGTTTGAAGAGAGAAAGCAAGCATCAGAACTAGACTCAGATAAGGCAGAGATGTCAGAATTATTGGACCAGAAACCTAAATTGACTATGGTTAACATGCTAAGAGCACTAATAAAAAAGTGAACAACATTCAAGAACAAATGTATAAGCACAGAGATGGAAATCCACCTCCAAAAAACCCAAAAGGAAATGCTACAAGTCAAACATGTAACAGAAATGAAGAATGCCTTTGATGGGCTCATCAATAGACCAGATACAGCTAAGGAAAGAATCAGTGAGCTTGAAGAGAGATCAACAGGAAATCCCCAAACTGAAATGCAAAAAGAAAAAAAGAATATGAATTACAGAATATCCAAGAACTGTGAGACTAAAGGAAAAGGTGTAAATATGTGTAATGGGAACACCAGAAGGAAAAGAAAGGAACAGAAGAAATATTTGAAATAATCATGACTGAGAATTTTACAAAATTAATAATAGACACAAAACCACAGATCCTGGAAGTTCAAAAGTTCACACCAAGCAGGATAAATACGAAAATATTTACACCTAGGCATAGCATATTGAAAATGCAGAAAACCAAAGACAAAAAGAAAATCTTGAAAGAAGCCAAATAGTTCCTCTATAGGTGGAACAACTTACCTATAGAGGAATAAAGATGAGAATTTGAGAATTATATCCTGACATTTCTCTTCAAAAACCATTCAAGCAAGAAGAGTTGACGTGAAATATTTAAAGTGTTGAAAGAACAAAATCATTAACCTAAAATTCTGTATCTTGTGCCATTATCTTTCAAAAGTGAAGGAGAGAGGCTCGGCGCCTATAGCTCAACCGGCTAAGGTGCCAGCCACGTACACCTAAGGTGGTGGGTTCGAATCCCCAGCCCGGACCCGCCAAACAACAATGATGGCTGCAACCAAAAAATGGCCAGGCGTTGTGGCGGGCGCCTGTGGTCCCAGCTACTTGGGAGGCGGAGGCAGGAGACTCGCTTGAGCCCAGGAGTTGGAGGTTGCTGTGAGCTGTGAGGCCACGGCACTCTACCCAGGGGGACAGCTTGAGGCTCTGTCTCAAAAAAAAAAAAAAAAAAAAAAAAAAGTGAAGGAGAAATAAAGACTTTCTAAGGCAAACAAAAATTGAAAGAATTTGTCTCCGGTAGACCTGCCTTATAAGGAATGTTGAAAGAAGTTCTTCATAGAGAAGAAAAATTATAGAGACCAGAAACTAAAATCTACATAAGGGAAGAAAAAGCATTTGAGAAGGAATAAGGGTAAATTAGCATATTCTATTTTTCTTATTCTTAATTGATCTAACAGAAATCTGTTTAAAATGATAATAGCTACAATGTATTCAGTGATCTTAGTTTATGGATAAATAAAATGAATGACTGCAATGGGATAAGGGACAGGAGAGAGAATTAGAAACACTCTATTATAAGGTACTCATACTACCCATGAAGTGCTGCAATGTTTTTTGAAAGTAGACTTTTATGAGTTGTAAATGTATATTGCAAACTCTAGGGCAATCAATAAGAAAAGTTTAAAAAGGAGTATACATGATGTGCTAAAGAGAGGATAGAACATGGAGTTACATAAAATGCTCAATTAAAACCACAGAAGCCAAAACAAGAATGAAAGACCAAAGAAAGGACAGGGCAATGAATGTGAAGTGGTTAACAAACTTCATGGCTGCTATAGGGTTTGGGGAACTGGGGGAGCACGGGACCTATAGGGTTCCAGTGATTTAAAAGAAAAGTATCCAAAACCACTGCTTTAGAAGAAAGATAATCTCTTTCCCCATTTAAAATGTCTAACTCTTTAAAGAATTTGGAAGCAGTCCTACTTTGAAATTACTTTCTGGGATTGTACAAGACTGGAAGTCCAATTCTTCCAATGTGGTGATCTGGGTCAGGCTCCTTAATAGGCCCACAAATGATTCTGCCAGGTCATTTCTTCTCCTTTCTCTTCAGGAAAGAACAGGAGGGTGCATGTCTGGGTCCTTTATGCCACAAGTATAGCTTCAGTTACTAAGAGGGCTTTTATCTTCTGAGGCTCTTTTCTCACTATCCTAACAGTGTATCTCAAAGAGTGGCTTGTGGAAGACCATCATCAGAATCACTTGGGGTATCTGTTAAAGCAGAAGATTCCTGGGTCCTGCCCAAGAACTACTGAATCAGGCTCTCAGGGAATGGGTCAGGAACTTGCATTGCTAGCCAATGTCACAAGTGAGTCTTAAGCACAAAAGTCTGAGAATCATTGCTTTAATATAGAGTTCTTTTAGAGTTGGGCATGACATGGGGAAGGCTCCTTCCTCCTTTTAGGTTTTGGGTCAATTTATTGATAAAAGTACTTGCCCTCTAATCACTTGATGAATACACATTAGCCAAATATAGTAAAGGCTCAAGGAATATTTGTTGAAGGATTACTTGAGGAGGACAGTATTATACCTCCTTAAGGACTATAATAAGCAAAGAATTTTTATTCTTGTAAGCTGTCATTTTATTCCAAATATGTTTTAAAATTTTTTTATAGTTTTGTGTGTCATGTGTACAGGGTAACTGTAATTTTGAAACTATAAGAGTAAGATAAGCCAAACTTTATTTAGATGCTAAGCTTACTCTAATACAGACCATCAAAAAAAAAAAAATCACTTGAGCTTCTTGTGTCAATTAAATGTGGTTTAAAGAATTCCTGCAAAAGAAAAATAAATGGATGAAAATATAAGCACTGATAGAAAATACAAAGCCAAAACATCACCAATAAAAACGTACACAGAGTTGTCATTAGGATGAAAAAAATGAATGGGTGTGTCAGCACACCTCAATGTTAGGGGCACTAAGAGGCTGGCCTGAGGGCTGGAGGAACTAGCATCAGGGTGCAGAGCCAGGGAAGGCCAGAAGAGAAAAGAATGAGTAGGCTAAGAACATCAAGGCCCATTCACCAAGCCCTCCCGAGAACCAGAAAACTAAGGATGTTGAGAAAACTTAAAGCTAATCTGCAAGGCAAACGATAAGAGAAAGAAGACGCTTGGGTTTGGCAAGTACTGGGTCACAGGGCTCCACATGTACTTCTAGACTACTTTGGAAGGCCTGTTAAACTCCAACATTAGTATCCACTCAAAACTGTATGATCACATCAGTGTGCAGAGGGGCCTTGGCTCAATTTTTAGTGTTTTTTTATATTTTCAGTAACTTCCTATACTCCCAACACAGGAAAACTTGGAAAAATATCTTACATATGTGTTCTTTGTGGAAGAGAAGAATAGGTATTAGCTAAATAGAAGCAATACATGATCTTTCTTACTTCTTAGAAACTGTTTCAGAAGGGAGGGGAGGCTCTCCTGCTCACTGACTTGGTAGTGGGGCTCGCATGTGTGTACCCGCGTGTGGATTATGTGTGTGCATGTACATGAGTGTGTGTGTTAAAGGGATGAGGGTGGGACTGACCAGCTGTCAGACTATGACCTACCTTGTCCTTAGCAGCAGTAGGATGGGAACACTCCCTTGAAGGTTGTCACTCTGGAACAGAGCAGTTTTAGTTATATCTTAGTCTTTCCTCCTCAGCCAAAGAGAGAAGATGGAGTCAGAGAGGGGCAGGAAACACATACACACAAACACACACAGACAGAAAGACAGAGTCAGAGAGGGGCAGGACACACATACACACAAACACACACAGACAGAAAGACAGAGTCAGAGAGGGGCAGGACACACACACACATGGAGAAGTTCTCTTGATTTGGAGCGCAGGACAGTGTGGGTGAGTCAGTCCTCATTCCTTCCTCCCTCCACATTCTAGAAGGCCAGTTGAGAAGTACAACTCCAACAAGAACGAACGGAAGATAGACCATCCCTGGAAACTCACTTTAGCTGAGGATAGACAGATTCTTTTTCAAAGACAAGGTTGAAGGAGTGCGCTTAGAATTTGTGGGAGATGCTGCGCCTGCTCAGAAATAAGAGAAACAAGCAAAACAGTGAAGTAATCATCCACAAAGTCCTCTAAAATTAATCTGCGAGAGAAGATGACAAAGCAAGCCTCTGAGCAAAAATTACCTGTAAACAGCCTTTTTTCCAGTTCTTCTTGGACTTTAAGAAGAATTCTCTCCTGTTCCAAGGCTTCTATGTACTTTGAGTAGCACCAGCTTGGCTAGAAAAACAATTTTCCCAAAATTAATTCTGGAAATTCATGCCTCAAGAAATAAACTGAAGATAAGATGGCTTCTATCAGCCTCTTCATTTAAACTTTTTATTAAAGTATAACACACATAAAGGGAAGTGAACAGATAATATGATGATGAATTTTCACAAAGAAACTTCCCCATGTAACCCTTTAACTGGGCATTAAAAATTACTAACAATCTACCTTAGGTCATTTTTATGAGAATATATTTTATGAGATATAAATATTCTTATATTCTTATGAGAATTCTTTTCTTATGAGAAAAAATATTCTTATATTTTTATGAGAATATATTTTATGACTCTAAAGTCATCCACAATTGTAAAATGGCAACATATTATTATTTTACAAATTACCAAAGTAGTTTAACATGTACACTTTAAACAGCCTAATAATAATAATCATCATCATCTGTATTTATAAAATGTCTCAAGTTCCCAAAAGCTTAAGTTTCTTACAAAAATCTTGAGATAAATGACAGGATATCATCATTACCATCATCAGTCCTTTGTCTCTTTCTTTCTTTCTTTTTTGAAACAGAGTCTCACTTTGTTACCCTCAGTAGAGGGCCATGGCATCATCATAGCTCACAGAAACCTCTAACTCTTGGGCTCAAGCGATCCTCTTGCCTCAGTCTCCCAAGTATCTGAGCCTACAGGCACCCGCCACAACACCCAGCTATTTTCAGAGACAAGGTCTCACTCTTGCTCAGGCTGGTCTTGAACTGCTGAGCTCAAGTAATCCACCCACCCCAGCCTCCCAGAGTGCTAGGATTACAGGTGTGAGCCACTGTGGGGGCCCCCCTTTGTCTTTTTCTAACAGATAAGGAAATAGTCTCAAAGGAAATTACGTGGTTATTTTCAGGCTTCAAAGTAATACTGACTTGTGACACAGCAAGACCTGGAAGGTTGGTATCTCTAATTCCATCCTTTCCCCCTTATCTTTCCACTTTGATGCAAATGCTTTTAATACGAGTCATCAAAAATAGATGTAAATTAAACTCATGAAATTTCAGAGAAGTGATAGTAATGTGCTAGTTATAAATGTAAATGTAAACACAGAAATTGTAAATGTATTAGTTGGCGGTCACTGTGGCCAATTTTACAATCAACTCAAATAATTTAAATAATTGAGACTAAGCATTCAACATTCATCTTTTAGCCTGGGAATATAATAACATACATATATATATATATATATATATATCCTATCTTATTCTCTTTACTAAACTCTGTCTTCTTGGGAACACTTACACACTGTTAGGGGGATTACAAACTAATACAATCTTTCTGGAAAGAAGTATGGAGAATTTTCAAAGAGCTAAAAGTATACCTTCCATTTGATACTGCAATCCCATTATGAGGTATCTACCCAGAAGAAAAAACATCCTTTTGCCATAAGGACATTTACACTAGTGTTTATCACAGTTCAATTCACAATCTCCAAGATGTGGAAACAACCCAATGCCCATCAGCTCACGAATGGATAAATTATGGTATGTGTATACCATGGAATACTATTCAGCCATAAAAATGATGGAGGATTTATATCTTTTGTATTTACCTGGATGGATTTGGAGACTATCCTCATAAGTAAAGTATCACAAGAATAGAAAAGCAAGTATCCATTGTACTCAATACTAACATGAAACCAGTAGACGAACAACTACACCCCCATACAAGAGAAAAATAACAACCACATTTGAGTAGGGAGGAGACAGAGGGGCTTTGGGGTGTTGTCACCTACCAGGTACAATGTAGGGGTATACAGCTCACCTCCTGGGTGAAGGGCTTAACTACAACTTGGGCGTTACCTAAGGAATTCCAACAATGTAACCTAATTGTTTGTACCCTTACCTCAGTCTGAAATTAAAAAAAAAAAATCTAAGGGGAAAGGAAGAGCAGTGAGAGGGAAGGAGGGTGGGGGGTGGGGTCTTGGTGTGTGCCACACCTTTTTGAGGCAAGACACAATTGTAAGAGGGTCTTTACCTAACAAATGCAATCAGTATAACCTGGTTTCTTGTACCCTCAATGAATCCCCAACAATAAAAAACAAACAAACAAACAAACAAAAAAACTCCTCCATATTCTTTTTCAATATGTTGGTCATTTCAACTTCTGTGTATCAAGAGTTATTTTCCTTGATTATATTATCAAGGATTGTCTAACATTTTAATGTTCTCTGAAGGCTCAAGGAGATTCCCTTCTAATCTCTCTTAGCTTAATAATTTTTAGCCTTATTTTCAAACAAACACATGTCTAGTACTGAATAGTGACTGAATTACCACATTCCACCACCCAGTGCTCTAACAGGGAGAGATTCCACCACGCCCCACCCGCTTACCTGCCGGCCATAGGCTTGGAGGCCTAGGAAGGACTCACTGACTGCTGCAGGTGTCTTGACAGAAGACGCTGCAGCACTTGTATATTGTTTGAGTGCATCCTGTAATTATATCGAATTAAATTATTACAAAAAGGGATAATGCTATGTTAATAAAAACTTACAGTTTAGGGGTCATAATATCATGTGGCATAGTGTTACATGGTGAGTGCCACACTGAGGTTTCATCAAGTCAATATTCCTAATGTGACAGAATCTCATGTTTTAATCTTTAATTTGATAAAAATACTTAAAAGAGAGAAATTATTGAGTTGAATGTAAAAACCACTTCCAAACTCTAGAATCTAAGAAAAACCTCTGTATATATTTTCATGAACATCCATCCCTATTTCTCACAAGGGAAAAATGCACCAATCTATAATTTCATTCTATAAATTATACAAATAAAATTTAATGATATGTGCTTTTAAAACCTGCTTTGTCATGCAAAATATTTGTGAAGCTGTTTCTATGTGGATAAATATAGAACTGGAATGGAAGCTGGGTCTTCATGTTATTTACCCTGTGTGTCCACTTACAGAACAGTGTTGGCTACACAGTATGCACTCGTGCATAAAATGATGAGATGAATAAATTATATCACCATTTTCAATGGGTGAGTGAACTTATGCAAAGATTTGTTGAATGATAAAACGAATAAAATATATCGTCATTTTCAATAGGCAATATTCTTGTATCGGGATGTACCATAGGTAATTTATTGAATGCCTCTTATCAGAAATTTAAGTCATTTTCAACTTTTTACTCTTATAAGTGATGATGCATATATACGTTTTGTACATTTTTATGATTCTCTCCTTTAGGGTAAATGTCAGTAGTGTATTTGCTGATCAAAAAGAACAAAAATTATAAGCAATATATGTTGTCAAACTACCCTTCATATCCTTTACATTTTCTCCAATAATGTGTGAGTCAGTGTGCCTTTTCCTCATACTCCAAACAGCACTGGGCATTGGCAATATTTCTTCTTTTTCAGTCTTCATTTTACTCATTTATATTTCTTTTGTGAATTGCTTTTTAATGTTCTTTGTCCAATTTTCTGCTAACAGTATTTGTCCTTTTCCTGACACTTTTTTTTTTTTTTTTTTGGCAGTTTTTGGCCGGGGCTGGGTTTGAACCCACCACCTCTGGCATACGGGGCTGGCGCCCTACTCCTTTGAGCCACAGGCACCGCCCAGCCTGATACATTTTTATAACTTACATCACACGCTATGTTTCTCAATTTGTCTTTTAACCTGGAATAGTTTTGCCATTTAAAAGTTTAAATTTTTTATTTGATCATTATGATCTTCGTTAATGAATTTGTCAGTAATAAGTAAATAGGCTGGCCAATTTACAACTCAATTCGCAATCCATGTATCACTGTATAATTTTAACATTGAAAATGCTGCCTCCTATACATATTTGTTCGTTCATTCATTCATTCCCTGATTTAGTCAATAAACCGTGCTTAATAATTGAGTGCATGTCAGACAAATATATAAGTGCTTATGAAACATGGATGAATAAGGCAGATACTACTTTTGAGGATTGTAGGTCCCACAGAGATGACCGATACATAGCGTGCTCTAAGAGAGGAAGAACGTTACCGAGGTGGTTGCAAACTGCTTGCGGTGCCAAGGAGAGTCGAAGGAGTTCTCATGATAGAAGAGGCGACATTAAAGAAGTTTGAGGAATTCAAAAACACATCTGAAAACCTCTGAATACAGGCTAAACAAACAGCCACTAAAACCTGTATTCAGTAACTCCTCTGTTCACAAACAAATTCTCAGCACAAATTCTACAATTCACATGTATCACATACCCGTAAAGGTCTGACTAAACCCCAAATGAGCCTTGTCTCACCTTCCCAAGTCTTTCATCATCTAAGGATGCCACCTTCTTTTTCTGCTTAGTGTAATCTTGTCTTCTCTCCAAAACACTCATGATTTTTTCATCAGTTATGTTCTTCCTAAACTCACAAAACTGAGGCCAGAATTTAAACAAAACCCCAAAAATTGTCATCTGTATAAAAAACAAAGTATGTCTCAGGTTACAATTTTACACAAATGTCCCAATTTAAACTCTAATTCACCATAATAATGGATTAACTATTCAATCTTTAATACACACCACGTTCCCTCCAACTTACTGTCTCCAGACATCTTGGTATGGTTTAGCTCAGCACATGCTTATCATCAGCGGTTTTTATTACCAGTAAGAAGTCTTTCTTTTAAAAAAAAACATACACTGAATACACTTAAAAGTCGCTTTATTCTTTATGTTTCCCTAACCAATTGATTGTATTAATAAAGAGTCCATTAGGTCTTTTAAAATAAGAAATTTATGTTTTCTTTTAAAATATATACTAGTTGATCTGCCACACACTCTGCTGTTTTATGCAAGTATTCCAAATATTCAGTTCATCATGGGAAACTCCCCCCCACTCCCTTATTCTTTCTTTTAGAGAAAGGAAATACCATTTTGCCTCTGGAAAAGCTCTTAAACAAAGCTGCAGATCTAAGAATAAATCTTGAGTAAGTTTTAAATGATATAATCTCTCTTTTATGTGAGAGCAAGGAAAGGAACATTTAAAAAGCAGAATGGTGTCCTAGACAGACGCTTTCTATGAGGATACTTTACATTAAGTGATTAATTGCGATATTTATAGAGATAAGAAGAGTTGCTCTAATTCTCATGCCAACTTTTTCCATTAGTTCCAGAAGTATACGTTACTTCCAAGAAGGTAAGACTTGCCACATCAGCTCAGGTCCAGCAACATCTTATTGCAAGGAATAGCCTTTTTACCTAATGACCTGGAGAAAAATGAACCATCCCATTAAGCTCCAAGCCAACTCTTAAGGGAAAAGAGGAATCTTTAAAAAGCAAATGCTGCGGTGATCAACAGACCATCTTTCATCACTCCTGTTTTCCATACATGAATGTTACTAGTAATTCTAAAATTATTTGCTCCTTTTAAAATAGTTTTGTCACTGAATTCTATAGCCTGTTGGGAGCATGCATTAAAATCTTTATGTTTAAGTACCTTTAAAAAGGTACTTTATTTGATGAAATGAAAGCTTTTAAGAAATTTTCACTCACATTTACTGGCCATTCATTCAATTAGCTCCCTGTTTTAATTAAGTAGCTCCCTGTTCCAAAGTTAAGGGATCATGGTCGTTTTATTGTAAACTTCTTCAGCTTAAATGCTACTCCTTTTCCATTTACCAACTCTTGACTGCACTTCTCAGTTATCTCTCTAAAACTTCAGTCATTCCCATCTCCCAGCCAGGCATTTGGGCCACAAAGATAAATAAGAAACGTCCCCTGCCTTCAAAGAGGTTACAACCTAATGAGAAAGCCAGACATGAGAAGGGTCACTTTCAACTCAGAGCCATAAGTGTTAGGACAGGGACAAAAACAAGGGAGAGAGGACAATACTGCAAAAAGCTCAGAAGGGCAAATCATCAGGGTCATTCACCGAACAAGTATTTCAGCAAGACTGGGACAGAGACGTCTGGAGTAGAAAAAACACAGCTAGAGAGACACACAAAAGTATGGACTTCCCGAGGACAACGGGAAGCAACTGAAATATTTTAAGAGAAGTGACATGATCTGGTAGACATTTGGAAGAAGATGGCTCTGCAGTGAGTTGAATGGTTTGGAGAGCGCCCAGAGGCAGGGAGTTTCAGTAACCGGTGTGAGACATGCCGCAGACCCAGAGTGAGGCAGGGTTGTGGAGCTGGAGAAAAGTGGACAGAATGCAAGGAGAATGGGGGCAAGGGAATGACGGAGAGGGAAGATGTGAAGACGGCCACCAGATCTCTGATCATATATGCATGTGTTTGGGTAGGATCTTTCTTAGGAAAACAGGAAAAATAGCAGATTCTGTGGTATAAGTCCTCTCTAAATAAAGATTCTTGATTTGCAGATGCTCCAGAGACCTTATTTAAGATATATCTAAGATTCCATTTTAGGAAATCAGGTAGAAGTCATAGGTTAGAGCAGCAGTCCCTATCCTTTTTGGCACTGGGGACTGGTTTCATGGAAGATAATTTGTCCATGGATAGGGGTTGAGAGGATGGTTTGTGGATGACTGAAGCATTAGATCTCCACCTCAGATCATCAGGGGTAGAGTCTCATCAGGAGTTCACCGCCTAGCTCCCTCCCATGCACAGTTTACAGCAGGGTTCCTGTTCCTAGGTTGGAATCTAATATCACCGCTTATCTGACAGGAGGCAGAGCTCAGGCGGTGATGCCAGTGATGGGACGCCACTATAAATACAGATGGAGCTTGGCTGCTTCACCTGCCGCTCACCTCCTGCTGTGTGGCTGGTTCCTAACAGGCCACAGATTGGAACCTGGAGGTTAGGGACTGCAGGGATGGAGGACACCAAGAAAAGAATTTGGCTGCAGTCCCTGAAGAGTGTACCAGAACCAACCGATGTCAGCAGCTTCATTTACCATCAGACTCCAGGTCTTTGATACAGATGGGCAAGTCCTGGCCCGGTTATCAGGAGACCATGGCGAGACTAAGTTATCTCTAGGATCTTTTCATTAAATTCTGACACTGTGTTTTCTCTATTTCTCTCTAGCACATCCTCAATCATTGCTCTGTATTCCTGCCTATTTTAATGCATAATTTGGATTATGAGTCTACTTTCAGTTCCTTAGAGGACTTAGGACACAGCTGGCTCACAAATAAATGTTAAGGAATAAATGGCTTTTTTCCATGCTCAAGGGCAGTCATAACCTAAATCTCTGTTTCATATCACTTAATTCATGACATGGCCTTCCCTATCACCCCTACTATAATTTATTTTTCTTAATCATTTTTTAGGAACAACATCCCTAAAAGGCTTTTCAAAATGCAAATAAATTATATTCACCAAGTCACTGTTTTCTATTATTTATCTTAAATAGAAGTAACTTGAGCAGGTTAACGGGCACGATTTTCCTTTCATGAGTTTGTGTACTTTATGTTGGTGGGGGACTTAGATCTCCTCTCACTTATTTTATGAGCTATGTGAATATTCCAATTTTTAAAAGTACACATATCTTTGGACACACATATTTTACACATTTTTGTGGTAGCAGACATTTTAAAAGGAAATATGAATGGTGGGAAAGGAAAGCGGGATTAGCTGGAGTTTTATAAGTTAGAAATAAAAAATGATAAGCAGAGTAAGTCGAAGTGAAGTATTTAATTTTATTTCCTGCAAATTATCATCAACCAAACAGTACGTAAGTTACCAGTTTCTTATACTGCAGTGACACATGCAAAGATTATTGAAATAGAAAAAACCCTAGTATTGGGAGGACTGGAACCTTACCCAATATGAATAATGTAAAAGCTTTAAAAGAATATCTGGATGGTCCATCTATTTTAAAACAAAACAGGCTAGCCACATGCCCTGATCTCTTACCTGTGCCTCTCTAAATACATATGGTCCTAACTCCTTTCTGCGTTCAATAATCTTCTGGGCTTGCTCTTCTGGGATATCAATTTGTAAAGCTGGTGGAATAGAGGAATTAATAAAGCAGTTGATAATAGTTTTGATCTTCTTCTGGATGACAGATGGATCACAATGAGAATGGCACAAGTCCTAAATAAGGAGGCAGAAAGATAGAATAAGATATAACGAAAGCATTGGCTGGGTACAGCGGCTCATACTATAATCCCAGAAAAACTAACTGATGCATTACTAGAACACTTTATAGAACCAGGTTAGTATATGTTCCAATTATTATATACATTTTAACTTTAGGTAAAGAGGGTACTGCCACATGTTAAGCCTGTCTTTTAAAAAATCACAGCTTTTCTTTATCTTGGAATTGAGGAATTTAAGACTTTGCTACATGTACCTTTAAGCACATATTTCATTTAATCCTGACCACTTGTTCCCCTAGGAAAAAAGAACAGCTTTAGTGTCTACTTTGAGTCCTTTACCAACTATATATTTAGTGCCTGCTGTATGCCAGACACTGAGCTGAGGCTCAAGACACAGTCCCTGCCCTTTTAAGGTTCAATCTCTACTGGAGGAAAAGTGTGAAAACACATTACTCTGATTTTGGATCATTAATAAACGTCATGACAGAGAGACACACAGGTTCCTACGAAAGGACTGAGAACAGGCAGCTGACCCAGCCTACAGAAGCTTCCCTATCCAGACCAGCTTCTATATCAAGGGGATTGAGGCTCAAAAAGGCTGCCCCCATGCGTGGGCATGCTGGTGCTGAACAGATGTGTTCTATATATTTTAGTATTTATATACAGCATTGCTTCAGTTACCCCATCACGTTGTCCTCTACATAGATAAATAGGCAAAAATAATGATTAAAATGAGCCTGGGAGTCACAGTAGGAGTATCTTTAAAGTCACAGTAGGAGTATCTTTCTTTTTAAATGAAGAGGTACCTTTGCTTGAATTATGGTATTTCTCTGTCAAAGACATTATTTTCTAAATCACCAGAAAGCAGACAAATTTGGAAACTTCTAATTCTGGATCAGACATGAGCCCACTTTGTAAGTATCCTGTGCATGCTGGCCCTTGTAATGGCTGTCTTATGGATATTATTAAAGAAAAGAAAAATTCTGGTGCCTGTCATGTAAAACTTTACATATAGTTTGGCACAACTTATGTCTGAATAAGTTTCATATAAATGTTACATGGTGAGAACAGTTAACACGTCTTAATCAATTTAGCGTCCCCTCAGAAAAGCCTATTTATGCCACGTGTTTATTTATTTGGAGATTATCATATGTAATCATTTGGCAAGTATTATAATTTTGGAATAAAAGGCTTATGAAATAAAAAATAAATGTATGAAATTATACAGTTCTAGTTTTAAGTACAGACAGAGAATTTAGACAGAACACAAAAAAGTGATACATTTTTTCTCATTGTTCCGCCCTACGGTGCCATTAGCCTAGTTAATTCTTACCCATTGGTAAGGTCTCAGTTTGAGCACATTTTTCTCTAGTAAGCTTTCTGTGACTCCCTCAGTCCAGGACAAATATCCATCTTGGGGACTCCCCTAGCATACTGTCCATCCATCACTGTACTATCACATTCTTATAAATGATTTGTGCACCACTCATCTGTCCCTCCCAGGACACTGTACACTCTTAGAGGGAAGTCTATTTTGATCATAGTTCTATCAGGATTTAGCCTGGCCCTTCGTGGTGCTCAGTAAATATTTGTTAGATGAATATATCCTTTTAGTCTTTTTCTCTACATGCTCATACACACACATTTTAGATTAAATCATACTGGGATTTTAGTAGCTAGGTTTAATAAAATCAATAATAAGAACATTTTCTCCCATTATTGGTTATTCTCCCACAACTTTTTTTTTTTCTTTTTTGAGACAGGGAGGGTCTCGCTATGTTGCCTGGGCTAGAGTTCAGTGGCATCATCATAGCTCACTGTAACTCCTGGCTCAAGCAATTCTCCTGCCTCAGCCTTCCAAGTAGTGGTGTGCCACCACACCAGCTAAATTTTTATTTTTTGTATTGATGAGGTCATGTTGTGTTGCTCACGCTGGTCTCTAACTCTCGGTCTCAAGCAATGCTCCCACTTCAACCTCTCAAAATGCTAAGATTACAGGTGTGAGCCCCTGTACTGGCCACCCACAATGTTTTTAATGGCTGCAGAGTATTCCTTTGTATGGATTTACCATAATTAAGTAACCAATGTCTTCTTGTATAAATGGGTTCTTTCTGATCTTTCACAAACCAGAACAGTGTTTGATTAAAACTATTCTAGCTATCTCTTTGCATATTAAGACAGTCATTACAGGGAAGCAGCTTAGCTTGGTGGTTAAGGGCATGGCTTTGGCAATACAATGACTTGATTAAATTCTAGTTCTACCAGTTATGATTAGCTGTGTAATGCTGAGAGTGTTTTAACCTTGCTGGACTTCAGCTTCATCTGTAAAATGATGAGAATGACATTCTTGACTTCATAGGATTCTTGTGAAGAATAAAATCATTATTACCATACTATAACAATAAATCGTTACATGAAAAGCATTAAGACAGTACCTGGTATATGGTAAACAATAAGATTAAGCTGGATGAGAGTTAGCTCAGCAAGACTTTGCCATGTGGAATGCCTTCCAATTGGCAAACTCCCTAAGCCCAATGCAAGTATCATCCCTTTTGCTGCAACCTCCCAACACAATTTCATGTTTGCTTTCTTGGATGTCTTCCTCCTTAAAGGAGGGAAGTGTATTACATTCATCTTTTTATTCCTACAACCCAGCAGGAACACTAACTACTTAATGTTTGCTGGATGAACAAATTTACTCCTGTAGCATGATTTTTGATGGCTACCTAGTATGGGAAGTCCTCCATGCTATAATGTAGAAAAGATGTTAAAAGAGAGATCTAGGGCAGCCTTGAAAGAGATGATGACAAAACTAAGGGTGGACTATGAGAGAGTCTATGGGTTTTTTTACATACCTATTTTACAAAGTTTATCTTGTTAAAAAATTGCCTGCTGTGGAAAATAGACACTACCTCCTTTCAAATTCTCAAAAAAAAAAAATTATTTTAATATTACTGTTGTGAAAGATTGTGAAAAAAACTTCTCTCAAAAGAAATGTTTATGCTGTAGTCTAAGCTGAGAATTGTCCCCAAACTGATAACAGAAAACAGTAGAAAATGGTTTCATGGTATGCTGGAGAAAGTCTGGAAACAGGTTTCACTCAGCAACTAGTAACTGTATATCAACCAATTCCTTTAGTGTTACATAATACATAGTTAGATTATAGGTCATTTAAAAGCACCATACTCCTACATTCTGTTTTATTTTTATTTCCCACAGTAGAATAGGATAGGCTGCTTATAAGGAAATGAGCCTGTACCTCTGGGAGCTGTGAGCACAGATTAATGCCTAATACTTCTTAGGTATTTCTAGACATTTCTTTATTCAAGTCTAGGGAACATAACACAGAAAGTCCCTTCCCTTTCTTCAATGCAAGATTCTATATGATTCCATTAAACACTTAACCTGAAAACAAACCTACCCAAATTGTTTTTTATTAAGAATTTAGTCACGAGAGTCTTTCTCATCTCATGTTGGTTTATCTTTGTATAATACCACATTTTTCATTACGACTGTTATAAACATGGATGGGGAGAATTCTTATTTTAAAAGTCTTGGTTGGGCGGCGCCTGTGGCTCAAAGGAGTAGGGCACCGGCCCCATATGCCAGAGGTGGTGGGTTCAAACCCAGCCCTGGCCAAAAACTGCAAAAAAAAAAAAAAAGTCTTGGTTATATGGATATATCAAATATGGATATCATCTGGAAAAAATGTATATAGATCATTACATATCATTAATGATATGCAAAAATATTTTACATTTTTTACATATCATTAATTTATAAACTCTCTTCAGGAAGGTTTTCATTAAATCATACTCTATGTTCACACATCAAAAAACCTAATACAGGCTTGGCACCCGTAGCTCAGTGGTTAAGGGTTCTGGCTACATACACCAGGGCTGGTGAGTTCGAACACGGCCAGGGCCTGCTAAACAACAATGACAACTATAACAACAACAACAACAACAACAACAAATAGCTAGGCATTATGGTGAGTGCCTGTGGTACCAGCTACTTGGGAGGCTGAGGCAAGAGAATTGCTTAAGCCCAAGAGTTTGAGATTGCTGTGAGCTGTGACACTACTGCACTCTACTGAGGGTAACAAAGTGAGACTCTGTCTCAAAAAAACAAAAACAAAAACCTAATACAGGTTGAATATCCCTTATCCAAAATGCCTGAGATGAGAAGCATTTCAGATTCTGGATTTTTTTCAGATTTTGGAATATTTATATTATACCCACCATCTCAGTATCCCAAATCCAAAAATCTGAAATACTCCAATGAGCATTTCCTTTGAGTGCCATGTTGGTGCACAAAGGGTTTTGGATTTGGAGCACTTCAGGTTCAGATTTTTGGATTCAAAATGCTCAATTTATACCATAGTTCCAAGGCTCACTCTTACTCTTCCTGCATAAAACTAAATGTAACTAGAGATCTAGAGATTCTACAACAAACATCTCAATAGTTACATTCCGGTATGAAGAAGATGGCAAAATCTGAATATCTTATACATATCTATAAAGTTACAGTTAAAAATTTGATATGTTAACGTATTTCCTCAAAAAAGAGGTGGTCTTCTCTGCCTTCCAATACAATACCTTATATTTTTGCACTTCTTGCCAAAAAAGTACCCCATTTTCCAATAAATCTCCTTTTAAAGCCATGAAACGTTGGAATTGTCTTGCAGTAACTGGATTCAGTAATGCTTTACGAAAAGCAATGATTTCACCAGAGGAAGATATCCATTTACTCTCCACAGGCTGTCCCAAACAGATAATACAGAAAATTAACCATGTGCTAAAAAAAAAAAATAAAGTCATTAATTATCAACATCTAGCTCCTTTAATTTTGGCTGTTGAAATTTGTGGCATGGATACAAAAGAATTCAACAACTTTTTCACCCTTTGTTCTGTCTCTTTTGTCTCTCTTATATTTTTATGGCATCATTTTTTAAGAGGTAGAAAAAGAAATGACTGGATGATTTAAGACATTGTTTAAGAGTGTTGGGTGGCACCTGTGGCTCAAAGGAACAGGGTGCTGGCCCCATATACCAGAGGTGGTGGGTTCATACCCTCCTCCAGCCAAAAACTGTAAAAAAGAAAAAGAGCGTTAACAGTTACTACAGTTTGGGGCTATAATTAAAAAAAACTACTTTTTAGTCAATAAAGTTCTCTGCTGAAACAGAACAAAGTAACCGTAATATGATTACATATTATTATATTACTTATTTTATTATATATTAATATATAATTCTCCTGTCTTTTCAAAAGTAAAAGCAGTTGAACATTTAAGATTTTTTTTCGTATCATCACATTAGGGATTAAAAAGGGAAAACAGAATTTTTTCAAGATTTTTAGAAAAAAATTATCAATGAATTCTATAATTTAAATAGAAAATTTGCTGAACTTCACTATAATTTTATCCTGGAAAGGTTATGTTCTTAGGAGAGACAACTTTATATTATTTTAATAATAAAACTGTGACTAAAAATTATAAATAATAATTACTAATAAACTCTTTCAAATAATAAAACTCCTCTGAGAATTCACTTGCTCTAACATAAAAGCCAGAAGCAGCGCGGTGTCCTAACGATATTTTTATCTACCCTTTTTTTATATCTTTACAATTTTAAAATTCTACTCTTTTTTACTTTAAAATGTCTACTATTTGTTTCTCACTTTGACCATTTAAAATCACATATTCAACTCCCTTTTAGCCTATCTGACTGAAAAACATAAGAAAGACACTTTGTTGAATTTATTGAATAGATTTGAATTTTATGGAAGTTCCCCAAAGCTAAATTTAGTGTATGACCAGGCAAGGAAGCATCATTCCAGAGGCAACATTTTAGATGTACTTCGGCATTATATTAATTACAATACATGAAAAGTATCCATTACTGATGATGCGTAAAATAAATTCCTGGAAACAAATCATATGTAACCATCATAAGTGTTTAGAGAGTTATGTAAAAAAGCGCTATGGGAACACAAAGGAAGGATTAACTAATGCCTTCTGAAGGAGTAAAACCTTCACAAAGAAGGGCCTTGAGGATGATATCTGAGTTGGAAACAGAAAAGTGAAGGCGACTCCAGGCAGGCTGGATGAATGGTGGGGCTGCTAACTCAAAGGGAGTAGATGTCTATCACTATTTTAGTGAGGCATATGTCATGTTATCTGGACAACAAGGTAAGACCCTTGCCATATGGTCCATATTAAAATTACAACCCTATAAATAGGAACAAGTTCGTATTAAACTGGGATGTTTGTTTAAAATCCACTCAGCAAATAATGTTTTAAGATCTGCTTCTTAAGATACTAAAACCTAGAAATCTAACTGAAACTTGTAATTTCACTACATAGAAAATAATACAGTGTGTATTGTACAATAGATTAGCCTATTTTACTTAGAATTTCAATCAAAAATATAGCAAAATACAAACAATGGCTCTCTTCATTTCAAGAGGGAACCGTGGAAAAGAACATACTCGGTGCCTATAGCTCAACCGGCTAAGGCGCCAGCCACGTACACCTAAGGTGGCGGGTTCGAATCCCCAGCCCGGACCCGCCAAAAACAACAATGA